GGTGATAATCCAGCGTTGTTTTGAAATCGTATACCAGGGTTCGGGGCATTGAGAGTGAGTGGATTACCACCGGGGACAAAAGCGCTCCACCACCGCAGCGATGAGCCACACAGCACCGCTGCACGCTAATCTGGCCCCTGTTGAAAAGAGGTCAGCAGTGCACTGAGCCAGGTTCGTGAACAAAAGACAGTTGTATAACACCGTACAATCTGGGCTCTGTTTACAAGGCTGCAGGCCTGGCTGAAATACTCCGGCGTCAATGAAGGTCACCTGTCAACTTAGAGTAGTGCCTAAAGATTACTTCGTGCGGCTATGAACGACTGTTAAATGGAATGATGAATTTTTGAAGGATTTGAAAACGGAAAAAATGGTAATCATGCCGGCCCAGCATCAGCAACATTGAAAAATGCTCCGGCATGAAGTGGTTAAAAATGCAGTGCACACATACGGACAATTTTCAAGATTTTCAGTTTTCAAAATTCTTCAAAAATTCATCATTTCACTTTATGGACATTTATACCCACATGAAAAGCTGTTTGGTGGCTACTCTAAGCAGACAGGTAACCTTTATTAACTCTTGAATATTTCAGGAAGGAATGTATCTCTTATGAGTAAAAAGAAGCAGGAATATACTCAACGGAGATACTAGTGGTGGATCCTCATCACACCCCACTGCATCCAGTCACCGCATATAAACAGCTCCATCTTCAGCATCTCTTCAGTCTCCTGACGATGGACTGAGCACGCAGTCCGAAACGCTGAGTATACTCCCGGTCCTTTTCAGAACCACACATACTCATGAAAGATAATTCCTTCACATGGTGCTGTCGCAAGCCTTTCCACCTATTGCTGTCTTTCATCATGAATAGCCTGAAATTCCATCAAAAAATGCTGACCTTTGAGGCTTCAATTAATCAACTCCGATTAAGTAGAAAGATGGGCACGGTCATCATTGTTCCAGATATCAGCCATGACTTCTCTCATTTCATCAGACATTGGGATTTAATTCACCGCTGTTCACTTCAGGAAAAATGAGCCCCCAAAGTTGAACATTACCTAATGGTCCATATTTTGAGGAACTTACCGTTTCCCCAAAGGAAATTATGACAGAGTGTAAGATGAGGTGACCTAAGTGGCCATTCCACTGCACAGTACAGGGCAGTCTCTCTATCTCCACAGAACTCCCTTAGTTGATTCAAGAAATTTACCGTCACTGTGACATTTGTGTTGATAGGGAAGACAGGCACGTTGAAGGTGCTTCTGATTCCTAAGCCCAGGCCATACTTGCTAGCAGTACCTACCTTCCTCAGGAACACAAATCGAATGTTTTAATATAGTATACAAAATGTTACCATTGATAAAACCAAAGAGCTAAATGCTCAAATTCTCCTGAATTTACAGTGACCTTTTGTTCTCCTCAATTTAGTGTTTCGATCTCTTTAGCCACTTGATGCTGGATGATGTGTAAACACATTTTCCTTATTTGTTCCGCGGCGGACTTGTACACTTGTTTAAGAATTCTTTTTTCCTTTCCGCGGCTGACATATTGACACGTCATGCTTTGATTGGACAGAGCGCAATTGCAAGGTTGAAGAATTTGTGGGTAAAGAAAACCTCTCCCAGTGGCTTCTTCAGGTAAGAAAATCAGATGTTAACTGGTTAATGAATGCTTGGTTTTGTTATTCTTCAGCTCATTTTACCGAAGATGAGAACCACAGAGACAACTGTATGGCTGTTGTTAAATCTGGCATACCACCGCAGTCAGTGCTATTTAATGGATCAATATGTATGGGGAATTCATTCATGGATTCATTGTCAGGTACATCCATTTCTGATTTTACTTGAAATGTCTGCCCAGCAGAAAGACATTCAGGCATTATGTGGGCCAGTTTCAGCTCTCTGAATACATCCTGCTTCCAGACATCAGATGAATTTTGTTCAAACTCATAATCACAATGCAGAAAGATTCAGAACTGGTTGGATAAGTGTATCACCACTGCTTGACTTGTTACCTGTCTTGCAGTGGTTTATTACAGTACTATTCTTTCAGTGTATCTTTTTCTGAGAGAAAGCACTGTCAGCATAGGGTAAACCAGTCCCTGCCGGGGAATCTGGATCCAGACACATATGCTTTATATGCATGGCCGGGGTCTCCAAACTCGGACAAAGGCAACAGGGCCTTGTAACGATAGACCATACTCGGAACAAAGACCAGGCTGCTGGGCAATACCGACATTTTTCACTCTCAAAAGTGGAGATAATCCAGCCTTGTTTTGAAATAGTATACCACGGTTTGGGGCATTTAGAGCAAGCGAATTACCACCAGGGCAAAAGCACTCCACAATCACAGCGATGAGCCACATAGCACTGCTACATGCTAATCTGGCCCCTGTTGAAAAGAGGTCAGCAGCACACTGTGCCAGGTTCGTGAACAAAAGAAAGTTATTTAACACTGCACAATCTGGGCTCTTTTTACAAAGCTGCATGCCTGGCTGAAATACTCAGGCGTCAATAGATTTTATCTGTCTGGCCAGAGGGGCCACCAGACAGTCCTTCACCTGTTTGTAAGTGTCCAGTAAATGAAGATAGGAACTTTTAAAGAATTTTGAAAACAGAAAAAAATGATAAATATCCCACCCCAGCATCATCAACATTGATAACTGCCCCGGCAGGAAGTGGTTAAATGCCCATCATTCATCAGGATGGAGAGGGTGTTGCTGGTTTTAGGGCTTTGACCAGTCTATATTGCACATGTTAATGTGTGAACTTCCTTCATTATATTCTGAAGCAAATTAGATCTTGACTGCTTTGATCTCGTTATTGGCTTTTTCCAAAATGAGACCTGTCAAGCAGGGGTGAGATTTGTCTGGATTTTGCCAAATTTTTGGAAAAATGTTTTCAGGATTCATGGATTTTTCTATTTGGCATGGCATATGTTTTGGGGGATTTTTCCGTGTCCAAAAGTTTCGGCCCAGGTCAAGTCACATCACACCTTCAGAGAATAATTCTGTGGATGTGCGAGTGTGAGGCATGGATTCAATACTAGGAAGACTGCTCTAAAATAAAAATTTTCATTTCTGTTTGTGCTTTCTTTTGTATTCCATATAAAAAGTAGTAGAAAAAAACACCAGTGCTTTGTTAAAAAGTGTCGTTTTTGTTATTCACTCTTTTTTTGTGCACTCAATTTTGCCATTAGCTTCATTATTTGGGAGGAAGACGCAAATCAAGGAGAATTTGAGACTAGCTGTTGCTCCATTAACTGTTGAGAGGTGTGTAGGACTACACTGCTGTCATTTGCTTCTCTATTGGCATATATATGTGGCCTAATATTTTTGTTTTAAAGTCTAGTTACTATTCCAACTCCTCTTTGAAGCAGATTCTTTACCTGTCTTACTGTTTTGTTTTCTTTTTTTATGCTCGTTTACATCGTCTACTCCAGTTCTCTGTTTTTGTCTTATAAATGTATGATGGGCTTGTTCAGTGATTAATTACTTTATGGTAACTTGCCGTTTTAACAGGTTGGTGTTTTGGTTTGAAAATAATTCAGCTTCTGGGATAAATTTGTTGTGGAATAATATTGTCATCAAGTGATTAAGTAAGGTTTTATTAATTTAATACATAAGGTGCCTACAAGTTTTGTTTAAAAATTGTTTACTATACTTTTGATGTCAAACATTTTACGAGAAAGATTGAAATCCATTCAGTTGTGAATTGATACGAATAATAAATGACTGGAATAACTGATATGATTGCAGTACTGCCAAGCTGTCTGGAGTTCTCAACCATTTGTTGGGTGGCAATTTGTTGAGAAAGACCCAGCAGGGTTTAGATAGCATCTTCTTGATCAGCAATGGCCGAGTTACAAGCTATGGACCAAAGGGACACTTCAATTGGAAGGTAAGGGCTTAATAGTGGTAGTAATGCAAGTCTGAGGTTTTTTTTGTGTTGAGTAATACATACATACTTAATATTGCTCAGGTATGACTGTTGACTCAGTTTACAAATACTGTGACTTATTGTGTCATTCATGCAGTGTTTTGTTTCGTTGTGGCCGGAGGAAGTATGAATGAAAAATGGTCAGAGGTAAATACAACTCGGAATATGTACATTTGTAAGGACTCGGCATTGGCCCCTTTTGGTACACCTGCCATACATGTTTGTTCAACAGTGCTGTACTTACACCAAAAGATTAATTATACTTCCAGCAGATTGGACAATATTCAAAATGTTGGAGTTAGTTTGAAGTTAAACAAATAATAGTCATCAAGAAGCTCTTGGAAAGAGTCCCAGTTTCAGTACAAGGCACTGAAAACATAGAACACATTGAGAACCACAGACATGGAAAATGGAGGGACACCAGTGGTCCTGGTTGTGGCAATTTTGCAGATGCACAAAACATGGATATCTGTAAGTTCATACCAAGTTCAATTAAAACCCATGATTGTATGGCTTTATAGATCTGAAGGAAGGTTAGAATCCCAGTGTGTCATGATCAGAAAGTGAGAAATGCACAGCTGGTCACAAATTACTAGCTGGTTTCACTGCAAACTGATGCTGGTACTCCTCTCTGCAATACTTTAGATTATTCTCACACACACATTTATTGCTGGGGCCAGGGGTATCTGGTTAGGAGGTCATTGTCTTCTACAGGTAGTGCCATCTGAGATGGTCCCAGCTTTAGCCCAGAGATGCAAAGTGACTTTAGTGCATGGGATTCCAAGGTTTGCCCATAACTTTTTTTGCACTTGCTAGCCGAACCAGCAGTGATGGCTTTACCAGTTCGCCAGTATTCCCACTAGTCCACGTCTTCCCCCCAATTTTAACATTCTTTTTAGGCATTAGTGTTTTCTGCTCCAACGTCATGCATAACAGTTTGCATTCGGTGCTAACTGGTGTTTAATTGTTGGTAAGTAATCATAAATGGCCATGGGAATTATGAATTTCCAGAATATTCATGAGTATAACTCTACTCAAGCAAATTAAACAAAGTAGTTACCTGCTGAAAATGGTTTGTTTTATTCGCAATCCAAGAGACAGAAAAAAAAACCATATCATTTTGAACAGTTTATGATCCCATGTACGTTTTATGCAGTATGCACATGTACACGCACATGCATATGTACATGTACATGTACGCCCGGCAAAATGCACATTCAGTACATGTTCGTTCTAGACTGTGTCCAGTACCCATGGGGTGCATTCCACCAAATGGTTGTATTTCTGCATGTGAGCTCATTAATATTTTGTGATCCCACGGGGTGTTTGCAATGAGGCATGCTATAATCAGGAGGGATCATAGAAATATTTCTATAAACCCTGAATTTGGGACTGATGATTTCCAGTTCGGGGCATTTGGATCTGAGTTCATAGTTTTACTACTGTTGTGGAGGTATCTTAGGGGAAAGGCGAATAAAAAATTTTTCATGGCTAACCCCTATAAAATTGAAATGAAAAGTGATCTTCTGGCCACAATCTTGAATTTTCAGTGAAAAATGGAGGCCAACCTCTTCCCAAGAGTCAACAGGTAGTGCTATTTCGGTCTGATTTTGCAATGTTTTCGGTGGGCGCATATTTGGTGTCGTGCAACCCGTAGCTCGCGAACCAAAACGAGATCACAACCCTGACATCGCTGGTGTCACAACTACCAATGACCAATCAGAAAAATCAGTATTGCATATTCATGGTAACGTATACACACAAACCGTACACACTCGGCACGTCATATGCGTGGGATGCATATTCATGACTTACATGTACCTCTACGATGCAGTGCATGAAAGCACGTGCTGATTTAGATCTTGTATGCAGAACCAACGTCAAGCCATAGCGTTGTCGAGACGTACCTGCCACACGCAGTAGTACAGTAAACGGTCCATAGTTAAGTGTGATTGCGCCGCAAAGGCATTGATGATTTACTGCCGCCACATTCTTAGTCTTCAGCATTACTTCTGCTGGGCTGGTGCCAGGGACCAACCTATTCTTGGTTGCAAAAGGTTCTAGTTTATTTGGTTCAAGGAGCTACATGTAAAGGGAATGCATCACATTCAACTATTTCGCCGCTGGTTTCAGAATATTGTTTTACTAGACCGCCAGACTACCGAGACGAGAGCTTTCGCTAGACTGCCGCTGTTTTACTTGAATTTGGATAGCGGACCAGAATTAAGGTTGAACCCTGGATTTACAGCAAGACTACTTTGGGCAAGGTTCCCCTCAAATCACTTGTAAACTATACATTAATTATCTTTTACCTATCTTATTTCATGCCTATCCCACAGTTCTTTTTGAAGAAAAGCTCTCGTTTGAAAACGAAGTTGAATTATGTTGATAAAAGGTATGGACGGATGCTTGACATAAGCAGTGCCATTATTCTTTGCATACGTTGTCCAGCTAAATCACACTGATATTTGATCTTCATTTAATGTCTCGTACTTCACAGCATCACCAGTCAGGGAGGAAGCTCAGCTGAATTAGTCATCGGACAGATGTGTTGTTACCAGAACAAGTACCATCAATGTTTGAGCTCATATTTTGTTTTTCGTGTTTACATAGATATACATCCCCCCCCCAAAAAAAAATTAGAAATAAACATCTAATGTTCAGATAATACCTTCCAATTCCTATCATTTTATTCTGTGATGATAATATAGTGTGTTTGGTGTGGATGGTATTGGAATATCTGGCTCTCTGACCAAGAAACAGCAAGAGAGCAAAGGTTACTATGGTTTTACTGCACATGTAAAAGGTTTCAAGATGGGATCAACAACGTTTTCCAATGTACTTTTTATTTTATTTTTTTGCACACTCACAAAAGGAAAATGTGAATAAAAAATATGGAAATAAATGAAAAAAAATTAAAAAAAAACACCTCTAGCCTGGATACCACCCCCTGCTTCGGTACCCCCAAACCTTTTAAAAAATGAAAGAACAATTACAGTAATAAGGAAAGGATGGTATCTTGTATTTGTTATTATTGGTACATCAGTAACAGTGTAATGCATTTATACCTATGTGTCTGTCTGTCTGTCTGCAACAATTGGATATACAAAGAATCATGGACCCCCTCCATTGTGCAAATAAATCCTGGACCACTCTTTTACCTGACAAAAGACTTCATTAACCTGAGGTTCATTTGCAATGTTTGGTGAAATTTATTTGGTTAATTCAACATATGGCTCTGTCAGTGCCGACCGTGACTCCAGGTGTCTTTGGATGTGACTTTCAATATTAAGTCTGGTTATGAGAATGTGAACCTGCCTGATGTCAACTGTCCTGATATTGGAGCAAACCAGATCAAATAGATCTTATTTGATCATAGATTGTTATCACAACTGATACACAACATGCCAAGATAAGGGAAGGTCTTTTCATGTACAGGTACATCTGAATGGATGTAGTGGATATACCAGCAAAGAAATGGTATTATATGCCTTGAATTCAGGTACATGCACGTATGTATTGTATATGGTATGACATATGTGCATGCCTACGGGTACTTCCAGAAATAAGGGGTTCATTTTATTTGTGTCCGTGTTACATCTGACATAATTTTGTAAGTTGAGAACACATTTTCTAATTAGAGTGATGAATTAATGCAAATTACCTGCCAAAAAAGTAAATTTTGAAATCAATTCCGGTGATATTTCCATGTCAAATAACAAAGGTCAGATATAACAGGGACACGAAAATGTCATACTTTTGTACCCTTTATTTCTGAAATTACCCACACGCATGTCTTTGTGAGTTTCTGACAATGGCAAGCACAGTATACATGTACATCGTAATAAACTGTTGAGTGCATGTAATTTTATGAAGTTCATCAGCTCCCCAAATGTTCAGTGCATGTACATGTACAAGCTGCAATGAAAACCCAGAAACAACATGTCGCAAAAATAGTCAGGGCAATAGGTTTGTGATTGTTTCACAGAATTATCAAGCTCTATGAGTACATGTTTGGGAAACATTTTTTCAAAAGCCAAATTTTTTTTCTGTGCAAAATAGGTTGAAAATAATGCAGTTTGGAATCCCTGGCTGATGTTTGGTTAAACAAGCATTCCTTGTGACAGGCCTCCATCCAAGTCGGGTTTACTTGGTAGTCAGTCGTGTGCCGTACAGTGCTGGCATTCCATACATTACACATGGTTTACCATGTGGAACATTTTGATTCTTGGTGGGATGAATGGAAATGGAATGAATGTTCCAGACAATGGGCTTGTCAATGTCGTGTCGAATAGGAAAAAAATAAAGAGAGTCTCACATCAGTTACTGCACATGTAATAGTGTATATAAATCTAGGTCAAAATAAGCAATTTATTTAGATGGTTGTGAAATGATGCTATCACAGTATTTAAAATACCTGCACAATGGGCATAGAGGCAAACTGCAGACAATTTCTGTTGATCAGACCGCCATTAACCACTTGCTGCCGGATGGTATAAAAAATGCAGTGCACATAATCGGGACTTTTCAAAGATTGTCAGTTTTTAAAATTCCCTTTGTCTGATTTTGGAGACCCTGGCTACGCGTATAAACACACGATGCCCAAAACCGGCCTCCCCGGCAGGAAGTGGTTAAAGTAGCCCTCATCCACCAGAACCCCAAAGTCTCAATCCGAAACCGGCAGCACTGCATTTGCAGTATTCTCCAAAATGCTTCAATGTGTTGATTGCTCATACTTGGCCCGTAAATAAAAGAATTTCTCTCACGAAGAAAAGACTGCATAACTGCAACAGGCTTGTTTTCTGTACCACGATCACCTTTTACTTTGGTTGGACAGGTTTGAATTTCTTCAACAGCTTCCACATTATGCCCTGCAATAATCGTAGGATCACTGGTGGATGAACTCACTTTGCACCAAATTAGCTTCCTAGAGAATCCATGTATGTATCCGCTGACACACACAAGCCATAAGGCTTAAGTTTATCATAAGAATCCAAGTGCCACAAAAATTGGGCCCCTTTGAGCAGTATTTTCTCCTAAGTTGTTTTCTCTTCCTCTGCTCACGTCCACCTGGGTCTAACTTTGAATGCAGCAAAGCAATGTGTAATCTTGAGATCTCGAATCCAGCCAATAAACTCGACCGATGCATCCATCTTTATCCGTGAAATCCGAACTGCTGTGTCTGCTCCAGTAAGGAAAGAGCAACATCAACAATCGATGACTTGTTCTTTCTCTCTGTAATAGAGCCTGAAAGTAAAAGCTCACGCAGTGAACTTCAGGAACCCTCGCGCGGTCCTCCTGTGGGGATTTTACGTTTTCCTATCACTTTCAATAATTTTTGGAAGAATAATTCCCAACTCAAACCACCGCATGAAACACTCATTTTGGAATTTTACCCTTGTCTTCCTCAAGTAATATTTTGGAAAAGTCACGTGGAGATCGGTGAAAACAAATTTTCATAAGGACCTTTCACTTCCGGCGATATCATGCCTAGGTCTCCATGTTCATGCACGTTTATTTTTACTACCTGTGCTTACGTGAAAACGAGATTGTACAATGTTGCAAAGATTTACCTATTTGTAGTCGATGGGTTCCAGATTCCTTTGAGCTGACATCATGCAGTTGTTGTCAGCAAAAGTAAGATAGAAGATTAGAATCTTTCGTAATTGAAGGAGAATGTTGCTTTCAGTTTATTACTTATAAATTATAAGACTATGTAAAATATTTTGATCTGTTTTTTATTTCGGTTTTTACCAATGGGCTACCATAAAATTTGAAACCGGAAATGTTCATCTGAGACTGTCTCATTGCACTGTTCTTCATGTATTTTAGATTTTCGGAAGTTATGGGTCAAGTTTTGGCAGGAAATTTCTCTTTTAGATCAGGTCATTTTTCAGTTTCTTTAAATTGATATACTTAGCAAATATTTTTCAAAGCCCTTTTCCGAGTTGAATTTTTGAAGAAGAAACTGAACGAAAAAATATGACAAATTCTAAAATCTTTGCACGTTATTTTTCCTATCCAAGGGTTCAGGAAGCGTGCCATCAGGGGTCAAATTCAGGCTCTATAGACCAAATGTTGTTTTTGGGTCCTTAAACTTACGATGATACCATGATTTGCTGCCAAAAACCCCAATATGTGATCATAACTCAAACTAAGAGAGAAGGAGAAGCTCACGAGTTTGCGTAATGTCATGTTTAGCTTTCCTTGAGTACTGTTTTACTGGAAATCACCTGCATTGCTCACTCAAATGTCCGTAGAACTATTGCATTAGTTTGCAAGGTATTGCATTATTTCGCAAAACTAGAGCAGTATTTTGCAAAACTAGTGCATTATTTTGCAAAACTAGTGCATTATTTTGCAAAACTATTGCATTATTTCGCAAAATTATTGCATTATTTTGCAAAACTATTGCATTATTTTGCAAAGCTATTGCATTATTTTGCAATACTATTGCATTATTTTGCAAATCTATTGCATTATTTCGCAAATTGTTGCGTCATTTTGCAATATTGTGTTATTTAACAATCAAAAATATTTTTTGTGGAGTTAAAATTGGCATTAACAGGCTTCCATAGAACTAAGACCATGTAAGGGGCCAAAATATATATAGGTGTCAAACAGGTGGTGAAGACAAATCTAAAAAGATTTTAAAAGTGGAAGTGATTTCTCTAGCTTGAACATTAATAAATTGCAATTATAATTGATATAAGTTTGTTTTGCAGTCTGTTTTCCACAGCATATTTATCATGTGATTTGAAATTGTTTAAAAGAAATTCATGGAGTACTGGTTACCATACCTTTAGCTACATGTATATGTTAACCTCTCTGAACATGAATCATCTAGCCATTTTTCAGAAATTATGTTTCAGTTTGCATTAGAAAGCAAGTTTAAGTCTCTGTTTTGATGTATCACACATTTTGGCTTCCTGATGAAATTGACAGAGTTCCCTTTGATTTCAACGATGTAAGATTCTTTTGAAGACCTGTCACTCAAAAGTGGCTCTAGTGACTTGTGACTCATTTTTACAGGGCGGATCACATATGGTAGTTCACAGAGTGCATGTGTAACAGTCTTGGCATCCTTCCAAACTTCCAGCATATCACAATATGCTGGGATGGTAGCCACCATAGCCAAAATTAATTGAGGTACAGCTACCCGCCTGAAGTCTGACTACAGTTTCATGAAACCTGACCCCTGGACTAGTTTGAAAATGCCCAATTTTATTGTGTTTTGCCCACGCCTTTATATTCTTGCCTCTTACAGGTTGACACCAGAGCTAAATGGAATGATGTCCTGACGGTGTTCAAAAGCATACACTACTTTCCCC